ATTCACTCACTCACTCACTCACTCGCTCATTCACTCGCTCACTCACTCGCTCATTCACTCACTCACTCACTCACTCGCTCATTCACTCACTCACTCACTAGCTCATTCACTCACTCACTCACTCACTCGCTCATTCACTCACTCACTCACTCGCTCATTCACTCACTCACTCACTCACTCGCTCATTCACTCACTCACTCACTCACTCACTAACTCACTCGCTCATTCACTCACTCACTCACTCACTCGCTCACTCGCTCACTCGCTCACTCACCCACTCACTCGCTCACTAACTCGCTAACTCACTCACTCACTCATTCACTCGCTCACTCACTCACTCGCTTATTCACTCACTCACTCACTCGCTCATTCACTCACTCACTCATTCGCTCACTCACTAACTCACTAACTCACTCACTCACTCACTCACTTGCTAACTCACTCACTCATTCATTCACTCACTCACTCACTCACTCGCTCACTCGCTCACTCACTCACTCACTCATTCGCTCACTCACTCACTCATTCACTCACTCACTCATTCATTCGCTCACTCACTCACTCACTCATTCACTCACTCACTCATTCATTCACTCACTCATTCACCCGCTCACTCACTCACTCACTCGCTCATTCACTCACTCACTCACTCGCTCACTCGCTCACTCGCTCACTCACCCACTCACTCGCTCACTAACTCGCTAACTCACTCACTCACTCACTCACTCGCTCATTCACTCACTCACTCACTCACTAACTCACTCACTCATTCACTCACTCACTCACTCGCTCACTAACTTGCTAACTCACTCACTCACTCATTCACTCGCTCACTCACTCACTCATTCACTCACTCACTCGCTCACTAACTTGCTAGCTCACTCACTCACTCACTAACTCGCTAACTCACTCACTCACTCACTCACTCATTCACTCACTCACTCACTCACTCGCTCACTCACTCGCTAACTCACTCACTCGCTCATTCACTCACTCACTCACTCACTCACTCATTCA